TGTTTACGACACTCATCGATTGAATTGATCAGGACTACTTACACCGAGAAATCAACCGTGGCGGATAAGACGAAATCCGCTGGTCAAGGTCTTCATGGAGTTTGCCGACTCCCTGAGAGCCATAAGCTTGAAAGCAACTGACTAACTAACTAAACGCCAGCTATATGTTTGCTCATACTTTGTCTTCTGATATGCATACAGGGTTGTCCTGAAATCAAAGCGTTTTGCTATTAGATCCAATAAATGGGTATAGATGTCTAGCGAAATATTAAAGGTAAGTGATAACTTAGTTTAGCTGAGAACAAGCCGACTAATGTTTTTTGTTTAGCTCTCCATTGTTCGGTCAACTGAGACTGTAACAACGTCTGGTAGAACAAAAAGGTTTACGCCAAATGATGTGATGCAATCCAGTCAATAAGGCAATTTACTCCATAAAGTTAGACTGGATCATCTAACTTTTCGTAACTTCGTCTTCAGGCCCTTACAGTTGTGTTTATATATAATGTAGAAATAAATGTGATTGGTCCATAGAGGTTAAGTACGAAAATAGAACAATGTCCATCAAGTTTAATCAGAGCGAGGGGATAAAATGGGGACAGTGGGCGAAGGAGGGACGAAGGTCAATTCTGGAATTTTCGGTGACCTTTTTTCACTAGCAGTTTGTCACGCCATGTTGCGTCATCACGACATGACTGAGGTCATGGTTCGGGTCATCAAGTAGGTTTGGTTGGGGCCAAGGCAACTGGAATGCAGTAACCATCTTTTTCTGTTTGCACAGTGGTGGGTCGATGATTTTGATTGCTAGAGCTTCTGCTGCTGCCAAGTAACGTTTCCGAACTTGATTCGATTTGTTTTTGGGTACTTCGTAGATTACTTTGAATGCATCGTTGTTTGGCTGATGCGAGGTAGGCCATAATCGCATTGGTTATTTTCTTGCAATTCGTTCTAAGCCAAGCCGGTTTACGTTCACTGATTCTTTTGGGAGAACTGCCTCATCGTTCGTCCTATATAACTTGCCGAACACGTGCAAGTTTGTTTGCGTTCTGACTAGTTACTCGCGATTTTACCCGTTCAATCACGGCTTCATATTGTACCTTATCAGGAGAAGAACCGCAGGAGATAAGCAGAAAGATTTTATTCCATACAAAAATAACTCTGAGTTTTATACACACAGACACATTGTCATAGGGGCTCATGGATATAGGTAAGAAAAGATACGACTGAAGTCGAAAAATGCAATTTAAGAGCTTCGAGTTACGGGGGTTCAGACACCATAACAATCGGTCAGATAAGCGGGTAAGTCAAAATCTAACGATTTCGCCACAGCTCGGGCTGTTTCAAAACTCATCAGGCATCGGTAGCGCGGATTTGCCAATGCGTCTGATTCCACTTGAGTCTGCCCGGTTGTAACGGCACCAAAACCGGTTGTAAGAAAACCACCGATAGCGTTGGCCGAACTTGTGGCGCTCAGAAGTCCCAGTGCGGTTAAGCAAGCAACCTGACTGAGAAGTAAGCTACTGGTGGGAATTCGATCCGATTCGTCACGAAGCAAAGCGTGAAAAATGGCCAGAAGCCGATCGAGAGGAAACGCTTGCGGTCCGACCAAAAGGAACTTGGTCTAAAAAAACAGAACACGATCGATCGTAGAATGACGAACTGAGGACACCTGGGAAATAGACGCGACAGTATTACCAATAGGATGAGCGGTGTTTATGGTTACGCTAGAAAGAATGGCAAAGATGAATCTAGTCAGTTCTAACGAGATACGTAAACTATCACAAAAATTGATACCGTTTTCACTTAAAACACAATAGGTGGGTAATCTATTCGGAAATAAGGGTAATGAATACGTAAATACCACAAAAGTAAAAGCCGATGGGGAAAAGCAAGTTAAGTGAAACGAAATACATCAGACACATAAACACCAGTCAATGTATATATATAGTGAATATGAAGACAGCCACTTAGGTAGTTAATCACGACAGGGTAATGTTATGGATACGAATGACCGGCAACAATATCTGAGAACGTGGCGACCTTCACTTAGCAAGCGATGCCTTAGCAACAAAAAGGTCATTATCGTGAGTGGAAACCATCGCGTTTTACGAGAATTTGATGTGCAAGCCAACAAGGCAAAACCCTGTTACTTTTACGGTTGCACTTGATCGTGCAAAGGCTGGCTAGAGGTGTATCTTCCTAGAGAAAGGCGAAATTGGTGACTGCGAATACCACTTTAAGTCATATTGCCATGAGCCCGCATGAACTCCAGCACAAAGTCGACTTATCCTCCCGTAGAAGGCAGGTTGAAAGTAAGTTTATTAGTTTATTAGATACTGGAATTCCTGTAGCACAGAGAGAGAATGGGTGGTGTCTGAGACTAGTTTCGAAGCCATAAGTCAGAGTATATTCCCGATAAACTCCCTTTTTTACCAGCGTAATCGATTTGCACCAGGTACGGTCAACATGGGCACCAATGATCCGTATGAACAGACGCATGAGAAAACGAATGTTATCTTGAGGTTTACAATCTATTTGACGGAAGCCGAATAATGCGCACAGCGAGTCGGTGCGGCACTGTTTCTTCGAAACAGTCAACATCTGTATCACATCCAGATAAAAATTAAGGTAAATTTAAAGCCGCCACATTATCGATTTCTGGTCCTGAAATTCATAATACAACCTTATTGTAAACCGTTTTTACTAATGATCAACCTAAAAAATACAACTTGTCCTCTTGGTAAATTCATCTGTATTAATAATAAAAAATGAAACCAAATATTTTGTCCGTAGAAGACCTTTACGTCAGGATAGAGAACCGCGAGACTCGGAGTTTGTAAGATCCGGTAGACAAACCTCTTGACTTACCTTCGCGGCGGCTTTTTCCTGTTTCTTTTTCCGCGTACTTTGTTTCTCAGAATGCTAGAGCAGAAACCAAACGGTAAGTTAAACAGAAACCAATGTCCCTACCTTCACAAGAAACTTTTTGTCCGCAGTACGAGGATTGTACGATGCCATAAACGCGGCAATGAGTAAATAGCGTGTGAAATAGGGTAATTCCAAAACACTGGAACTGTAACAAGTCGTCGAGGTTTTGGGTTGACTGCGCAAGTAAAGATTGGTCAGAGAACGTTTCAAAGTGGGCTGAGCCATTTTCCACTGTGTCCACTCGTCGTTCGGTGCTACTAAACCCTTTGTCACTGGTTCTTCAAATGCAATCCAATTGGTCTAAATTGATCATGTTAATCCGGACGATTATTTGATTTTGCATAGCATAAAACGTACCTCTGATAGATAGATCAGCTCACCAGCGTTGCGACAGACTGGAAAACACACTGTGAGCAGCAACTCTACAAACCGAGAGAAACGTTTTGGATCTGCGCCAGTAGGTGCCTGGGAAAGTAAGATGGATGCCATCTGATCGCGATTGTAACTATTAATTGACATAACGATCGGTTCGAGGTGGAAAGTTTGACTGGAGAATTTCTCCCAAGGGGACCGAGTGACTAGTACAGTTGTTAGGCTGATGATTCGATTAGTAGAATCGCGTCGACAAAGTTCATCTTCAACGAGCGAACCCAAGCGAACCAACAGGGGTAGTAATAGAGGATCGGCATCACGTAGTTTGTCAGCCTGATCAAACACAAGAACTAGAGACACGGGAGCTAAAGGTCGAATTAGAGAAACCGAATAGATGGATACCCTCTTCAGTTTCCGTTTGGCTGGCAACTTCTAAAAGCAAATCACACAGTTGTTCAAGGAACCGCGGCGCACCGTCACAGCGACAGTTCACAATGGAGTTTGGCACGTAACGCAACTTGACAGATTGCAGAACCAGCTCGAACATCAACTTGGGTGAGATACCGGAAAACATACTGTGCGATCCAGACGAGCATCCCTCCAGACAATTAATCAGAGCCCATTTCTGATCATATAGGCGTTCCAATTCACCAAAAGTAGCTGAAATCAGTCTAGACTTTCCACATCCAGACGGCCCGTTGATCACGAGACAACTGGTTACCGGTAAATTCTATATGTAGTGTACTGGAAGGGTATAAGACANGACATACCATTTTCAGAAGATCTTCTAAGTATAACTGTTCTTTTTCACGTCCAACCAGCAAATTTGAGGGAATTTTCGACTTCATTGTGGGCACTTTCTGCAAATTTTCAAAGATAGGAGCAAGCCAACTAAAATGAAAATAATAAACAATTTCAACAGGACGTTTCCTTTCAAAATGTTGATAAGGACTACGTACTAGGTGTGAACATCTACGATTTTCTCAAGTAAAGACTGGGATTAATAAATTTCCTGAATTGATTGATATAGGTTCCAACGTTCTTTGAGTACAAAATTACACGATCATATGACTGAGGAACAGTAACTAAAACCACAGTACCCAAATGCCGCATTAGATCTTATAAAACATAACCCAGCTGCGTCTTTATTTTGTTCTATTGAAAACCGAACAAGACAATTCAATGAGTATGAATTTTTTCGGTAAATATCCGAAATAGCGTACTCACCCAGGAACGTATCTCGCCGATAAACAGAGTTTATTTGTCGTGTCGGCGTACGCTCCAACGGACTGCAGTCAGAGATGAATCCTACCAAAAACTACACAACCTCTTGCGTTTGGCGAACCGGGCTGATATCGTGATTTTAGCAGGAGATATGAGGCGCGTCTGGGAGGTCCTTTCGGACTAGATTCTTGTCTCTCGGAAAACGACGGTTGGCTCTATATTTCGATCACTGACTATTTCTCGCCAGTGCGAGCTTCAGATAACCCAACGGCCGGTACGCCCATCAATCCCGAAGGACAGCGAGCAAGACGAAACATGACTCGTAACTAGACGCAAGCCTACGCAGAGATCGCCATATATGGTATGCTCAACGCGCATCAGAGATGGAACGTGCTGCCGTCATGGGTTATTCCCGTAAACTGTTCCATCTCATCCGGATCACTGAAAGGAAAGCTTTGGGTCTGACCGGAAGGATCTGCAAAGCTTATGGCTCACCCATTCATAGTCAACAGCGACATCTTGCACGTTTGGAAGAGCACTTCAAAGCACAGTTTAGCTGGGCACCCGCGTCAGCTTCTCAAAGCTATTCTAGCACACTTCCCATGGTCTGTTTCAACAGACCCACTTGAGGTGGAAAGGAGATCCAAGTCTTGGGAGGTCACAAAGCCCCGGGCTATGACGGCCTTCCATCAACTCTATTTAAAGATGGTGGAATAAAGCTAGCTAGAGAACTGACAACCCTATTCTCTAAAGTATGGCACACCAAGAAATTCCCCTTCTCGTGGGGGAATCGATTGTCGTCCTTATCACGCAATGACTGCGCAAAACATAGGAGTATAAGCCTGATACCAATAACGTCAAAGCTGTTGGTGTCCGTCATCCTCCGTCACTGTATAATATGCGTGAGGAGCAGACTGGCAAGGAGCAAGCTGGGGTTCGTGCCGGTCGTGAATGCATCGATCAAATCCTCACCCTCTGATAGCTGCTAGAGCACCTTCGTATCTACCGGAGACCAAAAATCATTGTGTTCCTAGACATCCTAGTGGTCTTTGAATCCGTCTAGGAACCCACTATAGAACTGTTTGTTGGGGAATGGAGTATCGTAAATGTTTTTCGATTTTAAGGAGTTTTATCGTCATACCTCAGGTCGGGTTAAAACCTACAGCCAGCTTTCGCCACCCTTCGCCGCCTCCAGTGGAGTTCGACAAGACTGCTCTATATCTCCATTCTCCTTCAATCTTGTCATAGGGGCTTTTCAAAAGAATGCTCTATCCGGTCTAGCAAACGGTGGAGTCAAACTCCTCCTAGGGAACAGGGTTCCTGACTTAGAATATGTCGATGACATCGCCTTGCTGGCTGACAGCACACGGGTAATCTAACATGATTTAAACCGCCAGGCGATAGAGGTATCTGGGTAAGGTATGCGTTTTGCACCATCCAAATGCAAATTGCTGGCAGGAGCCTGTGCCTGCACTCATTCGCTGTGGTGATCAGCTGGAAGTGTCTACCTTTCCGTGCTCTCTTTGCACGTGTTGGGCAAGGCAGGAAGAAGCGCTGCGGTGATCAGACGATGATACGGCGTATAGGTATGGAGTCAGCTTCAGCTTTGGCTTCGGATGGAGCCCAATGGATAATGATTGTCGTTGGTTAGCGACGCTGAGACATATGGGCCATAATAGAAGTCAGTGGCGCGAATGCTGAGGGGTCTGTCTGTTAAAATCTCGTGCCGTATAAAAAAGATAACCTAACACACAAATATCAAAGTGTGCGGTGAAACAAAAAAACGTTATTCTTGTCATCCACTATAAGTGTTCGCCCCTATGTGACTCTGTTTTGAATCCGGAAGAGCAGAGCTGTATGCTACCGAGCGCGTCCCCAGGTCGCGGATAGGGGAACGGC